GAAGATACTCCACCCTCTTCACCCTCAAGTAAAGAATTAGATAGCCCTAACTCATCATCGTGTCCGGAAACCAACCCTTTCTCAACCTATAAGTTCGAAAGTGAAGAAAGTCCTAAAATGGGAGAGAATACGCCTTTAAGTCGTCTTGGGGCTCCCGAAGCCTTTAGAGCACAAAGTGGGATCCTAACTCCTACTACTCAAGCCAACAATTTCGAGATCAAGCCTAATTTGATTGCTTTGATTGAGAGGAAACAATTCTCGGGTGGAAAATTTGAGCGTCCTCATGAGCACTTAAAAGAGTTTGAGAAATATTGTGACACAATAAAGGCTAATGGAGCGACTCAAGAATATATTCGTCTCAAGATGTTTCCATTTTCACTAATAGGGAGAGGTTTAGAATGGCTAGAGAAGGAGGTTCCCCCTAACTCTCTCACAACATGGGACCAAGTGACTATGACTTTCTTGAGGAGGTTTTATAACCATAGGAAGACCGCCGAGGCTCGGTCTTTGATTCAAGGTTTTCTCCAAAAGAGTGGTGAGTTTCTAAGTGCGGCATGGGAACGATATAAAGAGCTTCAACGTCAATGCCCACACCATGGGATACCCAAGCATCAACTCATTCACACTTTCTATGGAGGTCTCACACCTCAAGGAAGAACAAGCCTAGACGTCGCGGTCGGCGGTCCAATCATGAACAAAGGAGAGCATGAAGTGGAGTATATTATAGAGGAGGCCGTAAAGAACTATGATGATTGATATCAAGGAGAAAGGGATGCTACTTCTAGTAAGGGTGTTTATGCATTGGAGCAAGCCAACGCAATCAACAACCTCTCTACCCAAATCTCCAAAATCACCAAGCAAATGGATGAATTGATGAAAGAAAGGTCCAATCCTCATGGTAATACCTCCCCTTCAACCAAGGGAGGCAATGGTATGGATACTTCCTCCTCCTCTTCTTACAATACAATTCCCCAAGGATGCATATTTTGTTCTAATTGTGAAACCTATGATCATGAAACCTCCCATTGTGTATATGCTTGTGAATTTCAACCCCTTCCCCATGAACATGATGATAATATGGAAAATTTCAATGCTATGAATTTTGCTCCTAGAATGGGGAATGTAGGGAACTTGAGGCCAAACTCCAATCAAATAGGGAATTGGAATCAAGGTGGAAACCGTGGTTGGAACCAAAGTGGTGGTGGTTATGATAAAAAATACCATGTTGGGGGAGGCCCTTCCAATTTCAATCAAAGAGGCTACTCTGACCAAAGGGGGTATGGTAATCAAAACCAACAACCTAATTCCCGATACCATGACCATCAAAATAAAATTTTTGGTGATCAAGGTAACATGGGAAATAATCAACAAAGCAATGTTCCTAATCAAGGCACCGGAGGCAATAGGGGTCAATATGTTTCTAACTATGCCCAAACTAATAGGCCTCCGGGTTTCCATCAACCCCAACTTCCTCCACCTCAACAACCTCTTCAACTTGAAGCCCTTCCAAATGATCTCGTGATGGCTAAATTAGATGCTCTATTGAAAATGCGTGAGGAGGATCAAAAGAAACATGAAGAGGCCCAAAAACGCACCAATGCTCACATGAAATTGCTTGAGACCCAAATTGCTCAACTTGCATGTAATTCATCCCCTTCTCCTTCTTCTTCTTCTTCTCACATTCCTAGTCAAGGACTCAACCCAAAACCTTTATATGCCGTGAAAACTAGGAGTGGGAAGGTATTAGGGAGTGACCCTTTAGTTGAGGAAGAACCCCAAGAAGAGGTGGAGTTAGAGAATGAGGGTGAAAAAACCAATGAGCCATTGAGTGTTGAAAAGGAAAAAGAAGCCACCCCCTTGCCCCTAAATCGCCAACCTAGAGAGGAGAAGCTACCCTTTTCCACAACGATTTGTGAGAGATAAACTTGATGCCCAATTTGGGAAGTTTTTGGAAGTCATTAAGAATTTGCATATTTCCGTCCCTTTTGTTGATGTTATGAAGCAAATGCCCCACTATTCCAAATTCTTGAAAGATCTTTTGAGTGGGAGAATGGAGTGTGAGACGGTGAGTTTGACCGCCAATTGTAGTGCAATTCTTTCCAACAAATTTCCTACCAAATTGAAAGATCCGGGTAACTTTTCCATCCCTTGTTCTATTAATGGCATTGAATTTGATAAATCCTTGTGTGATTTAGGAGCTAGTGTGAGTCTCATGCCCTATTATGTCTACCAAAAGCTTAGTGTAGGAACCCTCTCCCCCACTAACATTACTCTCCAACTAGCGGACCGTTCCATTAATTTCCCCATGGGCAAGGTTGAGGACATTCCCCTTAGGGTAGGAAAGTTCACATTCCCCGTGGATTTCTATGTGCTAGAGATGTATGAGGATGAGAGAATTCCTATAATTTTGGGTAGACCATTTCTAGCTACTTCTAGAGCTATCATCGATGTGAAGGAGGGTAAGATATCCATGAAAATTAACAATGATTCCATTGAGTTTTATTTGAATAATGTCATACAACAACCCTCCTCAAGTGGTGAATTCTTTAAGGTAGATGTTCTTGATACCGTGCTTAATGAATTTTCTCGCTCCCACTTACATGCTACTAACGATCCTCTCGAAAGTGTATTGTTGAATGAATCAAAGATAGGTACTCACAAAGAAGACATACAATTCTATGAGGATTTGCTTGAAGAAAGCAAGAAGGAGTGCAAGGATGCGAGCATGGAAGAGGAGGCTCTTTACATTCATGACCTCTTTCAAGTTGAAGAAAGAGAAAAGAGCCCCAGTGGTAAGGGAGCACCAAAGGTAGACTTGAAACCTCTACCTTTTGGGCTTGAGGTATGCATTTCTTTGTCCCGATGAGTCTTTCCCCGTGGTTGTCAATTCTAACCTAACAGGGAGCAAACCTCCCTCTTGATCAATGTTTTGAGAAAACACAAGAAAGCTTTGGGTTATACCATTGATGATATCAAAGGTATAAGTCCATCTTTATGCATGCACAAAATTGATCTAGAGGGAGATGCCAAACCCGTTAGACAAAGGAAAAGAAAGCTTAACCCTTCCATGCAAGTGGTTGTGCGCAAGGAAGTGGCTAAGCTTCTTGATGCGGGAATTATTTACCCAATTGCTCATAGTGATTGGGTATCTCCCGTGCAAGTTGTGCCTAAGAAAGGGGGCATGACGGTAGTGAAAAATGATCATGATCAACTAGTGCCCACTAGGCTTGTTACCGGTTGGCGCATGTGTATGACTATCGCCAACTTAACACAAGTACATGCAAAGATCATTTTCCACTACCGTTCATTAATCAAATGTTGGAAAGGCTTACAAAGCATTCCTTCTATTGTTTCCTCGATCGTTACATGGGATTTTTCCAAATCCCGATTGACCCTAAGGATCAAGAGAAGACGTTTTTCACATGCCCCTACGGTACTTATGCGTAGCGCAGGATGCCTTTTGGGCTTTGTAACGCCCCCGCAACATTCCAACGTTGCATGATGTCCATTTTTAGTGATATGATTGAGGATGAGATAGAGGTCTTCATGGATGACTTCTCCGTTGGAGGAGCCACCTATGAAGATTGTATATCTAATTTATCTCGTTGCTTAGAAAGATGTGAGAGGGCTAACCTCGTGTTGAATTGGAAAAAGTGCCACTTTATGGTGGAAAGTGGGATTGTTCTTGGGCACAAAATTTCCCATGCCGGCATTGTGGTAGAAAGAGCCAAGGTAGAGGTCATTGAAAAACTTCCTCCCCCCACCAACGTGAGGGAAGTGAGATCCTTTCTTGGCCATGCCATGTTCTATCGGCGCTTTATAAAAGATTTTTTAATGATTGCTAAGCCTCTCACGTCCCAATTGCAACAATATAAGGAGTTTGTGTTTGATGATGCTTGTCAAGAGTCTTTTTGTAGGTTGAAAGAAGCCCTTTGCACCGCTCCTATTGTCCAAGGTCCGGATTGGTCTCTTCCATTTGAGTAATGTGCGATGCAAGCGACGAGGCCATTGGATCGGTTCTTGGACAACGAAAGAATGGGAAACTTCATGTCATACATTATTTGTCTAAAACTCTCAATGATGCCCAACGAAACTACACAACTACCGAGAAGGAGTTCCTAGCGGTTATTCACTCATTTGAGAAGTTTAGAACCTACCTCATTGGTTCTAGGAAAATTGTGTATACCGACCACTCGGCTCTCAAATATTTGATAGGAAAGAAGGAAGCTAAACCGTGGTTGTTGAGATGGGTTTCAGTCCTCCAAGACTTCAATTATGAGATGAGAGACAAGATGGGAGCCGAGAATGTGGTCGGTATGCTCTAATGGATGATGTACTATATGTCCTTGAAGTGAAGTCGGAGCCATGGTATGAGGATATTGTGAATTACTTGGCTTATAGTGCCGTACCACCGGATTTCACTTCACAACAACGTCGAAAACTCAAGTATGAGCCAAGAGATATATTTGGGATGATCCCATTTTATTGAAGAGAGGGGTCGATGGTTTGTTGAGGAGATGCTTCCCCAACGATGAGGTTCAAAGTGTTCTCCATATGTGCCACTCTTCTCCTTGTGGTGGGCATATGAGTGCTCAAAAGACCACCTTAAAGGTTCTACAATCTATGCTCTTTTGGCCTTCTCTATTCAAGGATGCTTGGATTTTTGTTAAGACTTGTGATAGATGTCAAAGGATGGGGAATATTTCTAGGAGGGATGAAATGCCGCAAAACCCCATCCTTGAGCTTGAAGTTTTTGATGTGTGGGCTATAGATTTCATGGGCCCTTTTATTTCTTCATATGGGAACAAGTATATTTTGGTTGCCGTTGACTATGTCTCAAAGTGCGCGGAGGCCGTGGCTTCCCCTATGAATGATTCTAAGGTAATGGTTAATCTTTTTCAAGAAAGTGATTTTCCCGAGATTTGTTATTCCAAGAGCCATAATTAGTGATGGAGGGTCACATTTCAAGCACCACACCTTCGTTCGACTTCTTGATAAATATGGAGTCTCATAAGCTGGGGCTTGCTTACTACCCTCAAACGTGTGGTCAAGCGGAGATCACCAATAGAGAGCTCAAGGTGATCTTGGAGAAGACGGTTGCTAGAACAAGAAGGGATTGGTCTTCTAAACTCCTCGACTCTCTATGGGAATATAGGACCGCCTTCAAAACTCCAATAGGGACCACTCCCTATAAGCTTGTCTATGGGAAAAATTGTCACTTGCCCGTAGAGATGGAGCATCGAATGCATTGGGCAATCAAGCAAATCAACTTTGATCTCCATAGTGCGGGTGAGCAAAGGCTTCTAGAGCTACATGAGTTAAAGGAGTTGAGGATGAATGCCTACGATAGCGAAAGCATGTATAAGGCGCGGACTAAGGCTTGGCACGATGCTCAAATTGTCAAGAAGGAATTTTTCAAAGGCCAAAAAGTCCTCTTATTCAAATCCCGCTTGAAGCTTTTCCTGGGCAAGCTTAGGTCAAGGTGGAGTGGGTCGTACATTATCACGGAGGTGTTTCCATATGGTTCTTATGAGATTTCCCAAGACGGGAAAACTCCATTCAAATTGAACAGTTACCGGCTCAAGCCCTACTACGAAGGATTCCCAAGTGATAAACCAATTTCTGTGACTCTTCTTGTTATGCATCATCAATTTGACCCTCTTGATCGATTCAAGGAACGTCGAGCTAATGACGTAAACCAAAAGCGCTTTCGGGAGGCAACCCGAGTCTTAACCCTTTTCTCTTTCTTATTTTCTTGATGCTTTGTTATTTTCCTATCTACAATGTTGGATTGTTGGATTTCTGAGTTTTGATTGTATTGGAATTTTTGGTATGCTTTGCCTTAGCATGATGGTATGGTGTTTAGTGTGTTTTGAAGAGGGGTGTTTGTGCATATTGTGTTGCAAAATGAGCATTTATTAAAAAAGCTAGGTGGTTCGATCGAACTCCCTGAAGGTTCGGTCGAACTTTTTAAAAGGTTTGCCCGAACCTTCTTGTGTTCGGTCGCACCCCCTCTGGAACCTAAAGTTGAAAACTTTCTGCAAGAATTGTAGAAATTAAAAATTTAGAGTAGGTTCAACCGAACCTTAGGTAGGTTCGCCCAAACCTTGGTTCACCCAAACAGCACTGAGTTCGGTCACACCTATTCTGCAATCAAAAGCTGGAAAGTTTCTGCCCATTTTTTTAATTTGGAGTTAGGGAGCAGGTTCGACCGAACCATGAGCAAGTTCGGCCGAACCATTTCAACAGTTCGACCGAACTTACCCAAGGTTCGGCCGAACCTTTGTCGAAGTTAAAAAAAAAAGGGGGCTGCTCTTCATTCGGCACTCTCTCTCTTTATTCTCCTCCTTTTCACTCTAAACTCCATTGCAATCCCCTCCTACAACCTCAAACCTCCATCAAAATCACTCCAATTTTCTCTTTTTCTTACTTATTTTCCATCCTCTACTCCATTTCTACAATCTCCACCAAAAATTCCTCACAAAAATCCCATCTTTTCATTTCCCCCGATTTCTAGGGTTTTGAGTGTTTTGGTGTTTTTGGGTTTCTACTTACTTACAATCAATTGTGGTATGGTTTTCCTAACTTTTGCAAGTTTGTTTCTTCAATTTCTCATAGTTTTACCATGTTTTGCATGTTTAAATATGAATTGTGGTATTCTTGAAATTGTTAGTAATAACTTGTTTGATTCTTGTGGTTCTTTGGATTTACTTGTTGCAATTGATTGGTAATTGATAGTAGAACATGTTGTTATCATGATTATGCATGTATACCTTAGTTTTATTTGATCTCAATGTCTTTGCTTAAAGATGTTGATTTCATGCTAGGGTGTTCATGCTACTATTTGATGATTGAGGAATTCATGAATTGGATGTTGTTGGAGAATGATTCTTGTTGTTTTTGGTTGATTTTGATGGTTTGGTGAATGATTATCACGTAATTAGGAGACATCATGCCAAAATTCACCTAGAGTTTGTTAGGACTTATATATGAATGTCATAGGGTTTCTTGCCCATGCCTTGGTTTAAATGTGTCCATTTATGCCTTGAATTGTATTGTTGTCATCCTCTACATCTATTTCACAACTCAAGACAACTACTTTCATGCATACACTTTTACCGTGGCTAGCTTCTTGTGTCATCTCTTATCAAATTGTCTTAATAATATCTCTTGGTAATTTTGTAGAATCATGGTTTTCGGCAAAAGCAAGTCAAAGAGGTAGAGAGTGGGTGAATCTTCATCAACGAGTTTCCCGCCTCCTCCTGTCATAAATGATCTTAGCATAATTTCTCCGAATGAGCACTTTTGGGATGTCTACAAAGCCCTCATCAATCGTCCCATCCGTTCAACAAGGTTCTTTTGTCCTAGAACATTGCAAAAGCTCGGTATTTTGAATGAGGTAGTTCGGTTGACACAAAATTTTGGATGGGGGTGACTTCATCCACCTCAACTCTCACACCTATGAGCGAGTAACTTTGGAATTCCTTGCCTCTCTCCGCAAGGAAGTAATGGAGCCGGAGTCTAACGATGAGGAACCTCAGCTTATGATACATTTTCGCATGTTCAATGAGGATCACTCCCTCACCAAGAGTGATCTAAATGATAACTTCCATTGGCATGCGACCGGGCTAGATCATCCTGGCGAGATGACTTCCACTCATCGCATCCCCTACAACGAGCAAGAATGGTGGAGGAGCATATCCATTAGGGATAGTTTCCGAACTAACACATCTAAGGTCAACAACATCATCCACATATCCATGAGATACTTTGCTCGGCTTCTCCAATATGTCGTGTTCTTCAAAGCAAACCTCGACTCAATGGTTAAGGATGAGGTAGCTTGTCTATTTTTAGCCGACAACCCTCAGCGCCTCAATTTCCAATGCTACTCCACCTTCATCCAAAGGCTTTTGGATACTCGGGACAACTGTCTTGGTGACGACATTTTTATGGGGGGCATGATCATTATCATTGCCCTTTCCTTGAAGAATGGAGCTTACAAGGAACAAATAGAAATGATCCCATTTGTGCACCAAACCCGAGAGAAAGTCACCAACGAGTTTCCTCCCTATTCTCTCTCCCTTATTGCTCTCCGTCAAAACCCCTTCATAAACTACTCCACAAGCAAGCGCAAATTCATCCTCTTAGTGGATAAAGAGGTTGAATGGTGTGTCCTACCGGACCCATCTCTCACTACGGTGGACCACTCCTCTCCTATAAAATGGAAGATCCCCCGGCAGCACATCCCCAATGAATTGAGAAGAACACGAGCCCGGGGTGTGGTTCCTCATCCTCCACCGGTCCACCGCCAGGAGCAAACCGTTCCCCCCCTTAGCGGAGGAGGTGAGGCATCTTCCTCGTCCTCCTTTCCTCCTTTTGATATGAATTCCCTCCGTAGTACCCTCGAGGATATCCGCTGGGATAACTAAGTTTCCATTGAACAATGGGGGTACTACGGGAGGATGAATTACGATAATCTTGTACAAGCGGGCGTCCAAGCGCCCTTTGTTAACTACCCCTACCACCCTCCTCTAGAGGGTCCGGTTCCTCATTGGGACCCCTATGACCCCAAAAACCGTACCCCAATGTCTACCTCTATTGGGAAGGTCCCATTGACCCTTCTCAACGTATTGGCACCCCACCTTACGATCCTTATAGCCCGAGTGGGTGTGATCTGGCTTATGATCCGGCTCGCACAACCACCCCAAACCCTTTTGATGGTGGTTGGGGTGACCAGGGGTGGCCCTATGAGAATTTCAACCAACCCTTCCACCCATTTATGGACACTCTCGGGTTCGATTTTGAGAATCCCCCTCGACCTAGAGGGCAAGGAGAAAGGAACCCATGATGAGGGTTCCCTTCCCCCCCCCCCCCCCTCGGAACTTCTAACTTTTAACTTTTTCTCGGGACGTGCAAAAGACTAGTGTGGGGGAGGATGTTCCTTTTGGGTTGGTTGAAGTGTACATAGGAGGGTAGTGTGGTAGGGTAGTGGCTTGTACATGAGGAGGACTATTGAGGATTTTGGCCTTGTTGTAGTTGATGATATTGTGATGATGATGTTGTGATGTGATGATGATGATGGTGATGTGATGATGATGATGATGTGATGGTGATGTTTTTATGATGTTTTTATGATGATCTTTGCTGATTTTTGATGATTTTTGATGATTCTTGAGCTTTGTGTAAGCGAAGATGCTCCGATGGAAAAATCCAAAATTCCCGACAATCCAAATTCCCTTAATCCAAACTTTGTAGATAACTTTTTATTTATTTTTCTTTTTATTTATAAGTTTAGTCTTTTTCTTTGGTTTCTAACTTTTCTTTTTCTTGTTTTGTCATAGTTTCTTTTGTTTTGGCTCACCTTTCTTGAAGCTTGAAAGTGGAGACAAAGGAAGTTAAGGAGCAAAACATCAAGTGTTTAGTCTAGGTTTAGCTTAGGAAGAAGTTGAATGGTTCGAGGATGTTTGCTTTTGGTTCTATGGAACCTGGGATCATTGATGTTGTTATCGAACGATCACTTATATGACGATTGGGATTTAATTGGATTATATGCCTCATGTGTGAACCTTTTTTATTTCTTCCTCTTTCTTTTGTTTTGTTTTTCCCTTTTGTGTTATAAACATGACTATGACAAGTTAAAATGATTTTTGATGTGGAATGTGCTCATTCATTTGGTTGTGTATGCCTTTTATGATGTTGCATCTTTGAATGCTTATCTTCCTAATTGATAAGGGTTTGCACGGTTTGAGAATGTTCAGGGTTGAGTTAGACACACTGTAAGCTAAGGTATCCCGGTTTAGAACTTTTGAGGACATTTGAACCCCTAGTTCACGGGAAAGTGGTAAGATGGAGTTGCTCTCTATAGTGGATAGGATTCCCTCTAGTTAGTATTTTCTTATTTATTATCCCATGTGAGCGTCATTTGTTCTAGCCTTCATCATTCTTGTGAGCGGCATTTTGGATCCTTAACTATGCATGTCTTAATCTTTGTGTTGGTATCTAGCTCCCGAGATCGTGACCAAACAACTCTAGAGGAGGAAGCGGGCATTTCTTCTCATTTTTCTTTGTTTTCTTTATGTTTTGTTACAAATTTGGTTTTTATTTTTGCATCCACCTACTTTCTAACCAATTTGAGCCTTATTTCCCTTTCTTGACTTAGCCATATTAAAAACCTATCGGCCTATGTTCTACCGACCCTTGTAGTTAGTGAAGCATTGGCTTGTAAGGTTCGAGTTTGAGAGTGTTCATTTTGAGCAAGAAAGTTGTGTAATCGGTTCAAGTAAGGTTATGAAAGTTGGTTAAGAATATGCAAAAAGTTTGTGAAGAAGGTTACAACACATGAAAACCAAGTGAAGTAGAAAAAAAAAGAGTTAAAAAAAAAAGTGATGAAAAAATTAAATGAAAAGAAAAAAAAATGATGAAAAAAAGATGAAAGAAATGAAAAGGGATAAAGTAATTTTGTGAGGTTTGTATTGAAGGTTGTAATTTGAGGTTAGGTTCAATTCTTAGGTTGTTCTTGAGAGATGGCCACTCTTTTGCTTCACTTAGGATTTGCCACCAAAATTTTCAAATTGATTTCCAACCTTAACCCCTAGCCATGACATTACAACCCTATTTAAGACCCTTGGACTTGGAGGAGCGCGGTCAAAGACCGGTGGAGGGAGATATATTTCAACCCTATGGAGAGAGTATGCAAAGTTGAGATGTCGGAATGACCTTATGATTCCACATTAAAATATCTTTTTCCGGTTCCCTCGAGGAATCATGAGGAGCTAGCTAGGGGATGACTTGAAACTAGTGGAGAGAACGTGGACCGGCTTGGTTAGGGCTAGGGCGGAGAGTGAAGTCATTAGTTCTCTATGCTTAGCTTAGGTTTTTCTCTTTCAACCCCGAGCATCTTATAACGCGTTTTCCCTCATTGAATTGAGATAGGTGAGTATTCTTTGGTGCATGTCTTTTCGTTCGAGTTAAAATGGAGCATTTTCTACATAAGTGCTTAATTGGTTTTCCTTAAACCTTGTCATGTTATGTTTGTTCTGACTTTCTCTTTGTTTTGGCATTCCTTTCTCGAGGACTAGCAAGAGACAAGTTTGGGGGAATTTGATGAGTGGCATTTATGCCACGATTAAGGTTCATTTTGATGGTAATTTTCCCACATTTGCGGTTTGTTTGCATCCTTTTCTTTGCAATTAGTTCCCTTTCCCTTTATGCATCTTCTTTCCTAGATTTTGCACTTTTTCCTACTCTTTACTTTGATTTCCATGCTTATGCTTTGTAGGAACCATCGGGGTTTTCAAGAGGAAGCAGCTAAGCTCAAGGAAAGCTGAAGGAAGCAAGATTCAGAAGAGGTTCTGCCGAACCTCCTGAAGGTGTGGCCGAACCTGCTCAATGGTCCGGCCGAACGTCGAGGCAGAGTCAAGAAGCAATTTGGCAATTTTTCCAGAGTGGTCGAACCTCAGAATTTCGACCAGACCAGGATCAGGGAGGTTTGACTGAACCTACCCATGGTTCGGGCGAACCTACCCTATAGTCTGGCCGAACCTACCCAGTGTTCGGTCGGACCACTCCTCTATTTCAGCTGGCTCTGTACGGACTATATAAGTCCCATTTTAGAACATTTTGATGAAATTAGATTAACTTAGTTTTAATTTTCTGCACTTTTAGCTTAATCTAGAGAGAGAAACACTATTAGTCTTCATTTGGTAAAGAGAGAAAGTGTGGATTTCTTCATTGATGAACTTGGATTTTGAAGAAGAAGCTTGTTTAATCTTTTGTAGATCTTCAACTTTAATTAACGAGCAATCTCTTACTCTTTTTCTTTACTTTTGCATTTAATTTTGCTTGTTAACTTTGATTTTCCTTCTCTACTTATTAATCATGTTGATGCTTATTGATTTGGTGATGGATATTGTTTTCAACATGATTTATGAGTAGTCACTTAGCCAAGGGTGTGGGGATGGTCTAGTTGCTAATTGTTCATGCTTATAATATTGGGATTAAGTTAATTGTGATTAAAATCTTTGCATGCTTGATATTCTTTGATCTTCTTGCAAGTGCACATTGTTAGGTGATTAAAGGTGAATCTTTGCTAACAAGGAACGGAAGTTGAATTAGTTAAGATTCATTACTATCGATTGTTCTTTGATTTCACCTCCCAATATATGGTTCTAGTATGGAAACATAGAGGCTATGTTAGGAGAAACCGATTAACCCCAGAAGGCGGTTAGATTGAA